ACCTCATATCATTTTGTTCTTCATCTTGTTCTTCTTCATTTGTCTGATCATATTCTGTCATTTCTCCTTCTTGTGCTCCGTTTTGTTCCACGACACTTTGTTCATCTGACTGTTGACCATCGTCTTCTTCATATCCGCCTTCATTTTCACCATTATCATTGCCGCCGCCCGCAGCTGCAGCAGCCAACGCTAGTTCGTGATTAATCAAACCCTAAAAATTAATATAAAACATTGATAACAATGAAATATTTGCTTGACTCATATTCAACTTTCACTAAGAGATGAAACCTTTTGTTTCTACTACTATTTTTATTCACTACTTTAATAACTCACAATCTCTATATGATTCAAACTTATATCATTTTTGTGAAAAAATCTCTACATACTTTAAAATCTTTGTAGTCATCTTCCATATTGAATGGTAATGAATACAATTGTTGTTCATCGGACAAACGACCTGACGAGACATGATGACTGAAAAAGAATTTATTTAAATCTATTAGACACGATAAGAAGTAAAAAAAATAATTGCTTACCCGTACGGTGATGATGTTTCATTTGGTACGCCACGTTGTGCTCGCCGTTTACAAAACTCATTTTCATCAACTGTCCATACAGCACCTTTGATATTCTCCACTCGCATAAAACATTTATGTAGACTCAAATTATGACGAACAGCATTCTAAAAATAGACATTAATTTAATAAAGAGATATCAGTAAAAGATCATGTCAAACAATAAAGTAACTAAATTATATTTCTTCTTTCGTTATTTAAAACTAAATGTTCACTTTTATTTAGTTGTCTACTTTCCTATGCCTCGAAAAATCAATTAAGTCGTCTGCCATCTGTTCAGCAAAGTAAAAGAATACAAACAATGTATAGTAGTTTTTTCTCTTTTTTCAGTTATCTTAATACCGTATCTGTTCTCAAATGTACCTTCCATGTTTGTGCATTCTTTCTGAAATATAAAAATTGTGCTTCAAACCATTTATAAATTTCATTTAATGTTAATTGACTTTCAGCTGATTCAATTATGGCCTAAAATCAAAAACAACAAAAAGTTTGCGCTGCATGAGGCCAACGGTTTTTTTAAACATACTTGACGAATCAATGTGGCATATGTAAATGGTGGACGAACATCAGCTGATTTATAAAATTCGCGATTTTTCAGTTCTAAACACATACATAAAGAAGTATTTATCAGTATTCTGTTATAAAAGTTCTGCACACCTCGGTCGATCACTTTCTCAAAAAAGAACCGAAAAAAAGGCTGCAACATAGAGATCTATAATGACATCACTCTTATACAGCTATTTTATCCATTCCATTGAATATCTTTAACAATTATGTTGCTTGCTAAATGCTGCTACTACAATTACGAACTGTTCGTATTGTGATCTATTTACCTTTTCCAGCTTTTTTCCCGTGCATATTTGCTGATCGTCGTTCATGTTTTGTTCGTGTGCCAATAATTGATTGTGTCGGTGTTGCTTCTAATGATTGTTGATCAGCATTTTCACTTTCGTCATTATTTGATTCATTACCATCTTCATCATTACTTGCCATATCGTCTTGATCTTGATCGCGTTCTTGTAAATTCATTGGTGGTGGCGTGGTACACGATAGAGATGCTCGTAAATCTTGTGGTTGCTGTTTTAAAAGTGATTTTACAGCAAGTTCTGCAGCTGATGTCGGTGTAACAGCAAACGATGAGAGATTAACGGCAGCTGCTGTAGCTGCAGCTACTTGTGAAGCGATATAATCGGTATTATTGGACGAAGTTGAGGGTGTAGCATATGAATTTTCAACTTTGACAACAGAATGATAGGTAGGTGACGAAGAGGAAAGTTGTGAACGTGTCAATGGATGATAAGTACGTGTTCCATTTGTAATTGTTGACGAAGAGGATGATAGAGAATTGGATGTTGTTGAATTAAGATTATTTGTTGTTGAATTATGACTAGATGGACCATTTGTTTGACCACTATTGCTGTTGTTGCTACCACTTCCACCACCGCCTCCATGTAAATGTCTCATCATCGCTTGTAATATTTCACGTTCACGACTGAGCTAAAAAGTAATCATATTTCAATAATATTTTAAATAATGATGATAAAAACTGCTTGTATAGAGGATAAAAGTTACTCTTATCAACGTTCACAATATGAAAACACATAAAATAGATTTTATCTTATCATAAGAGCGTCTTTTCTAACCATAAGTAAATCTTAACACACT